CAGCCACGACACGTGGCGCTGCCATGTCAGCACCTTGAAGACAAGAGCAAGCCAGCCACCATGCCAGCAAGCAAGCAGCGTGTTGACGCTGAAGAACGCCAGCGCTCAGCCAGCAAGTAGCCAGCACCTCACAAGCTAGCGTCGCGTCAAAGTAGAGTCAGCCTTGACTCGCGACAGAATGAATGATGTGAAAGCTAGGAGTCAACCTTAAGTAGCGTTGACTTGGGGTCAATGCCTCGGTGCAGCGGTCCTGTGTCGTCAAGATCTTGATGCGGCGACGGCCTGGATCGGTCTGCGACTGTTTGTCCCTTGGTCCGATGTTCTGGCCCGGTACCTGCATACAACACATGTGTGTATCTGTTCGTGGACTTGGGTACGGTACGTGCGACCCAACAGTTGACTTTGACCTTTGAATTTCCCCAGTCCAGCGCTAGGTCTTACTGGCCAGACGCTGGCTGGGCCGGGCAGTGCGTGGTCACACAGCCCGGCCTCTGCTGAGTGCGGGTTACTGCACCTGGTTTGTGCTGACAGTACTGGTAAACCCAATCACAGACCCAAGACTGTCTATATGGAGATTCGTGCCTGCTTAGTTCAGCCTTGGGCTTAGTTCTATTGGTTACGATGCCGGATTTTCAAACGACGGGCTACATGTCTGATTTTTTATTCAACGGGGGTTTCCCGTTGAAAGGGTCAGCGGCGTTGAATCCCTGTTACAACACCGTCCTATACCACGTTAGAGATGCCGTACAACGTGGCCAACAAAATTGTTTTTCACAGGCCAAAAAAAAAAAAAAAAAAAAAAAAAAAAAGGGGAGTGTAGATTTTTTCACGCTCTACATCCCAGATTCCCCGTATTTTTATTTTTATGTTCTGAACATTAAATTTTAAATTATTTTAAAAAAATCAAAAACATAACCAGACTCAAAACACATCCATTTTTTTTTTTTTTTTTTTTTGATTGATTGATTGATTGATTGGTTGGGGATGGGTCGCCCCCCCTACCCCCATCCAATCACACACAACACACACACACACACACATACACATACACACACACACACACACTTACTTGCGTCCGGTTTGAAAGTGACTTTTTCCGTTTTTTCTTTTACTTTTTTTTTTTTTTGGATTGATTGATTGATTGATTGATTGATTGATTGGTGGGGGATGGGTTGCCCCCTCCACCCGCACCCAATCACACACACACACACACACACACACACACACACACACACACACTCACATGGAGATGGATATATGATACATCCTGGTAAAATCTGGAAAGGTGCAGACTGAGCCAGGCTCACTATACCCCGTGTTGTCATAAAATAGGCCGTCGCCTGCATACCCCTCTTCGGACCATGGGTTCTTCATTTCAAAACTGCAACCCTCACGGCCTGGTGACCCATCTATTTATAACCCTTGAAATAAATCGTTTTTTGAGGGACCATTCCCCCTGAGTCGGTGCCAAGAGGATTGCCCACCACTGTGTCCTCCCCTGCGGGCCTTTGCCCCTTCGGCCTCCGGTACCCCCTTTTTTTCCCGCCCGTCCCACGCTCCCGTTTTGACTAGACTTCCTGAATATGCGGGCCTGGCCGGGTAATCCCGGTGTATATAACTGCCGCCGGGCACTATTCATTCCCTCGCACAACCGTGGCGCGCTGCAGTCGCTATCTTGGCATGGGTAGAGCTCTCACCACGAGATTTCTACTCAGGACCAGGCTAGTGGCTGTAGCCACAGCGGTCCCTCGCTCTGTGCGACGCTTCTGCCATTCGCTCCCGCCCTTTTTGCCTACACTTTGAATCCGCTTGGGATCGCTTCGCGCCCTCCGCGGCTGCGCTATTCGAATCCGCCGCCATCGCTCTGCCATCTCTGCCTGGCGGCCAGTGTTCGCTCACTGTGAATCGTGGGATTATCAGCACCCCAGCGTTGATGCTCTTTGGCAGCACCCCTGTGGTGTCACCAACCTGTTGTGCCGGACTCCGCCGCAAAAACTGCTGAAGCTCGTCCTCCGTCTCTCTCCCCTGCTTGAGAATTCGTTGTTGGAAAAACTGTCGCATGCTCGCAGGAAAGAGTTGCGGAAGCTGCTTTGTACAAGAAGGAGCTGTCATGGCCACCGCTGCGGTAATCGCTGTCTCCTCCACATATGTGCCCTCCACCCACCCCCAACCCCCCTCCTTCTGCTCCCTTCCTCCCGTTGCCGTATGTAAACCTCGATCCTTTTGTGAATTGAAAGCATGCATGGCCTTCCTCTCTTCTCCCCTCTGTCACTTCCCCTTACACCACCTCGCTCTACCACCATCCCTCTCCTTCTCTCCTTTGGAATGTGGGCTTTGCCCCGATGATATTCCTGTCCCTTTTGATATGTAATGGCAGATGTTTAGTTCTCTGAAGATCCGACATAAGTGAAGGTCGGTGAAAAGTACTTAAGGGCGTGTTCCACTACCTTCTCGCCATTCTTCGGCATGCGTGAGCCGCTGGATCAAATTGGGACTTCCTACTTCCAACCTTCACTACTCCTCTCTCTCCCCTCCTTCGTCCTACCTACCCTCGTGATTCTTGACCCACCTTGGCCTCCACATTCTGCCGAGATTGATTTAACATATGAGTGTTGCTGCTCTTTCCTCTCCTTTCCTATCTCTGTGTTGTTCCCGTGCTTGGTTGTCTTGTTGTTTGTTTTGTGCTTGTGGCCATAGGAACTGCTTTCGTCCTCGCCTCTTCAGAGATGAAGTCTTCTTCGCATCGTCGATCGGCCTGAATCATGGAACTCCTGGTCTTCGCCCATCTGCTGGTAGCTGTTTGCGTCATCTGCATTACGTACCTTGCCTTTTTGGCCTTCCTTGATGTACAAACGGTGCTTATGTACTCGACGGTTTGTCGCCTTGGGAATTCATCTCTTCCTCCTACTCCGAGGTGGTGCAGAGCTTGAACCCTAATGTGACCTCTACGCGCCCGTCCTCGCTGCTTTGAGACTTTCGTTCATTGGTAGTGAGTCTAGATAGCAGGGAACGATTGCACCATGGATCTTGATAGGAGGCGTTGTTCCAGTGTAGTCAGAATGCTGCTCGTTTCCTTTCCTCTGTCCATGATTGTTCTTGCTTGTTTATGCTGTATCGTTCTAAGGCCCCTCATGGATTTATCCATGGAAGGCCGCACAGGCTCTTGCCCAACGCAGCCTACCCTATGCGCTCCCCCTCTCATTTTAGCAGTGATTGTTATACTACTGAGTTTCTGTACATGGATCGTCTTAGGGTTGGTTGCAGCCCTGCTCCTCTGCGAATCTGCCCCTCCGATTCAGTACATTACTCTCTCCCCTATGTCCTGGCCTGACCGAGTCGTTGATAGGGTGTAGTGCTACCTATTTCTCTCGCGCGCAGTGAGGACACTCCCTCGGGGATTTGTATCCCAGTAGGACTATGCAGCGACGTGTGCTACCGACTGTGTTTGGACGTATTGGCTGCTTCCCGGCGCAGGATGCGTTGTGTAGTGGTGGGGAGGTTCATGATGGCTCGGGGTTAGCCTTTTGACTGAGCGTTCTTGGTACCAATGTTCTTCCCCATTGTGGATTACTGGAATCCGATGCTCATTTGGATGTATGCTTCGATGGAGGAGTATTTCTCGCGTACGACGTAGTAAACTGGGTTGGATGGTTGCAGTGCTGATGGCGTACTGTATGGAGTCCCGTGTGTATCTGGAGAATGCTGTGTCGCGGCAATTCTTACTACTGAGGTTCCTTCGCTATATGGTTTGTTGGATTCGATTACTCGTTGCCAGTCGTTGGTGCCTACCGCTTTCTTTGGGTAATGTATGCTTCGATCGGTGAATGCTTTTGGCGGACTGCGTAGTATAGATAAGTATTTGGCTTGCTGCGTACTTAGCTGTTCTTACCCCGCGTGGAAGTGGCATAGGGTTCCGATTTCGGCATGTAGACGCAGGCTGGAGGTATGCGATTTCTTCAAGGGAGTTGTTCTTTCGGGTCCGCGGCTCCTCATCGAATATGCTTTCAACGGGATTTTTTCATCATCGGGTGGTTTTCTGGTGACCTGCTGCTTCAGCATCACTTTTGTTAACACCGAGGGGCACAAACCCTTGCTATTATATGGGGAATTCGCTAATAGGTGGTGTGCTTGCTGTCTTATGAAGTGCTGGGAGGTCTCGTTGTTAGCTGATGGGCGACCTGTTGAGGAAGTGTGGCTTGTGACTAAGAAGTGCGCATCTTCGTTGGCTTCAGGCTGCTGCTCCATCCAACATTATGGCTAGGTGTTCAGCGTGGAACTGGATGCGGATTGGTGGTCTCTGGTTCGTCCCTTGCATGCATTCGGTCTGGGGATCTGATTCCCCCTCTTTTCTCTACCCTACCTTCGCTAGGGTGGCCCTCCCCCTGTCCCGTATTGTGATAGAGTAATTAGCGGCTACTTGGGGTTGGTCCGGGGCACTGTCGATCAGCATGCATCCGTGAAACATGAGTGCCTTCATTGTGCTCATCTTCTGTTGCTTTCTATAAGTGCTCGTTTTTTAGGCCCGGTGTAGCTGGCTGCTGTGCTTTTGAATCGTGCTTGAGCAGGATGTGCGTCACTGCGTCAGATTCGACAGTATGCTTGTGGGGCCCTTCGGAGTGGTTCTTACTCCCGGAGCTTTCGGTCCGGTTCTTCGGGTTGTATCTGGTGAATCCGATGCTTGCGCACATGCTGCTGTTTGGAGGATTGAAGGGTTATGTCAACTTATGTGTGACAGATTTCAAATGGCTACTCCTGGAGCTTTTGGCGTTGTCTCGTTTGTATCACGTAAAAAACCTTGTCTAATTGGCTGCTATGCTACTGATTTGTGTTTGGACGGTGCTTGTATCGAGTTCGGCAGTCTCTGTGTGCGCAGCTTCTTCGGGTTGGCCCGTACTTTGCGATCTTCGGAGTGTATATGGGCCCCCCAGATGCCTTCTTTCGGTTCATCTTAGTCTGACATTGGCTTGAATTTCATTTGCGATGGTAGTAAAGGCCATGAGCCTGTGCTTCTTTTTGGCTTCTGTAGTATTCTGTGAGGGGCATAACGGATAGGACTCGCCTCTTCTGTGTGGGCCGCGGTGGGTGAAATGTGTATGCGTGGCCATGGGCTGCTGAGCAATTATCCTCTTGGCGTGTTTAGTTTCGAGCATGGATCGCTCAGTGAGCTTTGGCCATGGGCTGTGTTGGGATTTGTCTCGGCTATGCGGAGAGTAGTCTTTAGAATAAGTGCCTTTGGTTTTTCCATGGTTAACTGACCATCTGAGTATCACATTTTGCCTTTATGTAATATCTTCAGCCGCAGGGTTTTTGATTCTCCTCTGGTCTTCGTAATGCCGAGCAACGTGTCTTCTCATAATGGTCTGTCAGGGGGCTGGTGCCATGGTGGTGTGTCTCTTACTCCGCGCTGTTGATCTCTGTAGTGCTCACTTGACAAAATGCTGTTGGTACTAGTGTGTTACATGTTGTATGGAGGAAGTGCGTTGGATGTGTTGGAACTCTTCCGTTGAAATGTTGTTGAGCATTATCACGTTCCTAGTTACGGCCTACTTCCTCCTGGTCAGCTTCTGTATCGTCATAATTTCAACATCCCCTTGCAATACTCCCGTGAAATGTTACTGATCGCATCTTCCTGCTGGCAAGTACCCCACCCGCATCATTGGCTTCTGTGTTCTCCTCCTTATCCAAATCTTTTGGACGAATGTATGCTCTCTGCTCCCTGGTACACACTATCATTTGTCATGCTCATGCTCATGTGAATGATTCCTGCGCTGTGGTTCAGACCCTCCATGGTGTTGTATTCTTGCATGCCTTGGGACGCAACATGCCGCGTCGTTTCCGCGACAGTATTGTACCGTGATAAAAACACACACACACACACACATACACTCACTTACTTTCGCGGGGTTTGAAAGCCGTTTTTTTCGTTTTTTTTTTTTA